GACTGTGGTAACGTTGGTGTGTGAATGTGGTAACGTTGGTGGGTGAATGTGGTAACGTTGGTGGGTGACTGTGGTAACGTTGGTGGGTGACTGTGGTAACGTTGGTGGGTGACTGTGGTAACGTTGGTGGGTGACTGTGGTAACTTTGGTGGGTGACTGTGGTAACGTTGGTGGGTGACTGTGGTAACGTTGGTGGGTGACTGTGGTAACGTTGGTGGGTGACTGTGGTAACGTTGGTGGGTGAATGTGGTAACGTTGGTGGGTGACTGTGGTAACGTTGGTGGGTGACTGTGGTAACGTTGGTGGGTGACTGTGGTAACGTTGGTGGATGACTGTGTGGTAACGTTGGTGGATGACTGTGTGGTAACGTTGGTGGGTGACTGTGGTAACGTTGGTGGATGACTGTGGTAACGTTGGTGGGTGACTGTGGTAACGTTGGTGGGTGACTGTGGTAACGTTGGTGGGTGACTGTGGTAACGTTGGTGGGTGACTGTCGTAACGTTGGTGGGTGACTGTGGTAACGTTGGTGGGTGACTGTGGTAACGTTGGTGGGTGACTGTGTGGTAACGTTGGTGGATGACTGTGTGGTAACGTTGGTGGGTGACTGTGGTAACGTTGGTGGGTGACTGTGTGGTAACGTTGGTGGGTGACTGTGGTAACGTTGGTGGGTGACTGTGGTAACGTTGGTGGATTACTGTGTGGTAACGTTGGTGGGTGACTGTGTGGTAACGTTGGTGGGTGACTGTGTGGTAACGTTGGTGGGTGACTGTGTGGTAACGTTGGTGGGTGACTGTGGTAACGTTGGTGGGTGACTGTGGTAACGTTGGTGGGTGACTGTGTGGTAACGTTGGTGGGTGACTGTGGTAACGTTGGTGGGTGACTGTGGTAACGTTGGTGGGTGACTGTGGTAACGTTGGTGGGTGACTGTGGTAACGTTGGTGGGTGACTGTGGTAACGTTGGTGGGTGACTGTGTGGTAACGTTGGTGGGTGACTGTGTGGTAACGTTGGTGGGTGACTGTATGGTAACGTTGGTGGGTGACTGTGGTAACGTTGGTGGATGACTGTGGTAACGTTGGTGGGTGACTGTGGTAACGTTGGTGGGTGACTGTGGTAACGTTGGTGGGTGACTGTGTGGTAACGTTGGTGGGTGACTGTGGTAACGTTGGTGGGTGACTGTGTGGTAACGTTGGTGGATGACTGTGGTAACGTTGGTGGATGACTGTGGTAACGTTGGTGGGTGACTGTGTGGTAACGTTGGTGGATGACTGTGTGGTAACGTTAGTGGATGACTGTGTGGTAACGCTGGTGGGTGACTGTGTGGTAACGTTGGTGGGTGACTGTGTGGTAACGTTGGTGGGTGACTGTGTGGTAACGCTGGTGGGTGACTGTGTGGTAACGTTGGTGGGTGACTGTGTGATAACGTTGGTGGGTGACTGTGGTAACGTTGGTGGGTGACTGTGGTAACGTTGGTGGGTGACTGTGGTAACGTTGGTGGGTGACTGTGGTAACGCTGGTGGGTGACTGTGGTAACGTTGGTGGGTGACTGTGGTAACGTTGGTGGGTGACTGTGTGGTAGCGTTGGTGGGTGACTGTGGTAACGTTGGTGGGTGACTGTGGTAACGTTGGTGGGTGACTGTGGTAACGTTGGTGGGTGACTGTGGTAACGTTGGTGGGTGACTGTGGTAACGTTGGTGGGTGACTGTGGTAACGTTGGTGGGTGACTGTGGTAACGTTGGTGGGTGACTGTGGTAACGTTGGTGGGTGACTGTGGTAACGTTGGTGGGTGACTGTGGTAACGCTGGTGGGTGATTGTGGTAACGTTGGTGGGTGACTGTGGTAACGTTGGTGGGTGACTGTGTGGTAACGTTGGTGGGTGACTGTGTGGTAACGTTGGTGGGTGACTGTGTGGTAACGTTGGTGGGTGACTGTGTGGTAACGTTGGTGGGTGACTGTGTGGTAACGTTGGTGGGTGACTGTGGTAACGCTGGTGGGTGATTGTGGTAACGTTGGTGGGTGACTGTGGTAACGTTGGTGGGTGACTGTGTGGTAACGAGTTCATCTGCTAATTCCCGCCTAAAAGTTCCTCTGGTAAATGGATAATAATTACTAATAATTAGTGGATAATAAGACCAATAAAGATTTAATATATAATATCTTGTAAGATACAGCAAACTATCAGCGATATTTAGGTACAACCAAGAAAGTACAACCGGGAACAACCAAGAAATTAGTGCCTGGAACAACCAAGAAATTAGAGCCTGGAACAACCAAGAAATTACAACCTGGAACAACCAAGAAATTACAGCCTGGAACAACCAAGAAATTACAACCTGGAACAACCAAGAAATTACCACCTGGAACAACCAAGAAATTACCACCTGGAACAACCAAGAAATTACAACCTGGAACAACCAAGAAATTACAACCTGGAACAACCAAGAAATTAGAGCCTGGAACAACCAAGAAATTAGAGCCTGGAACAACCAAGAAATTAGTGCCTGGAACAACCAAGAAATTAGTGCCTGGAACAACCAAGAAATTAGTGCCTGGAACAACCAAGAAATTAGTGCCTGGAACAACCAAGAAATTAGTGCCTGGAACAACCAAGAAATTAGTGCCTGGAACAACCAAGAAATTAGTGCCTGGAACAACCAAGAAATTAGTGCCTGGAACAACCAAGAAATTAGTGCCTGGAACAACCAAGAAATTAGTGCCTGGAACAACCAAGAAATTAGTGCCTGGAACAACCAAGAAATTAGTGCCTGGAACAACCAAGAAATTAGTGCCTGGAACAACCAAGAAATTAGTGCCTGGAACAACCAAGAAATTAGTGCCTGGAACAACCAAGAAATTAGTGCCTGGAACAACCAAGAAATTAGTGCCTGGAACAACCAAGAAATTAGTGCCTGGAACAACCAAGAAATTAGTGCCTGGAACAACCAAGAAATTAGTGCCTGGAACAACCAAGAAATTAGTGCCTGGAACAACCAAGAAATTAGTGCCTGGAACAACCAAGAAATTAGTGCCTGGAACAACCAAGAAATTAGTGCCTGGAACAACCAAGAAATTAGTGCCTGGAACAACCAAGAAATTAGTGCCTGGAACAACCAAGAAATTAGTGCCTGGAACAACCAAGAAATTAGTGCCTGGAACAACCAAGAAATTAGTGCCTGGAACAACCAAGAAATTAGTGCCTGGAACAACCAAGAAATTAGTGCCTGGAACAACCAAGAAATTACAGCCTGGAACAACCAAGAAATTACAGCCTGGAACAACCAAGAAATTACAGCCTGGAACAACCAAGAAATTACAGCCTGGAACAACCAAGAAATTACAGCCTGGAACAACCAAGAAATTACAACCTGGAACAACCAAGAAATTACAACCTGGAACAACCAAGAAATTACAACCTGGAACAACCAAAAAAACTGACCAAACGTCAACTAATAAAATTAAAGCAAATTTGAACACTTTAAATAGTTCTTCTCTTGGTAAAAAGGATTTTTTTTTCAGGAATTTTATCTCATTGTAAGTTTAGATTTAATCATTGTACTGTTCATGAAGTTATGGTGAGCGTTCACCCAGTGTATATAACTCTTGTACACACCTGTAACTTGCTCAACACACACGTGTGTACACCCCTGTAACTTGCTCAACACACACGTGTACACACCTGTAACTTGCTCAACACACACGTGTACACACCTGTAACTTGCTCAACACACACGTGTGTACACACCTGTAACTTGCTCAACACACACGTGTGTACACACCTGTAACTTGCTCAACACACACGTGTGTACACACCTGTAACTTGCTCAACACACACGTGTGTACACACCTGTAACTTGCTCAACACACACGTGTACACACCTGTAACTTGCTCAACACACACGTGTACACACCTGTAACTTGCTCAACACACACGTGTACACACCCGTAACTTGCTCAACACACACGTGTGTACACACCTGTAACTTGCTCAACACACACGTGTACACACCTGTAACTTGCTCAACACACACGTGTGTACACACCTGTAACTTGCTCAACACACACGTGTACACACCTGTAACTTGCTCAACACACACGTGTGTACACACCTGTAACTTGCTCAACACACACGTGTACACACCTGTAACTTGCTCAACACACACGTGTGTACACACCTGTAACTTGCTCAACACACACGTGTGTACACACCTGTAACTTGCTCAACACACACGTGTGTACACACCTGTAACTTGCTCAACACACACGTGTGTACACACCTGTAACTTGCTCAACACACACGTGTGTACACACCTGTAACTTGCTCAACACACACGTGTGTACACACCTGTAACTTGCTCAACACACACGTGTGTACACACCTGTAACTTGCTCAACACACACGTGTGTACACACCTGTAACTTGCTCAACACACACGTGTGTACACACCTGTAAGTTGCTCAACACACACGTGTGTACACACCTGTAAGTTGCTCAACACACACGTGTGTACACACCTGTAAGTTGCTCAACACACACGTGTGTACACACCTGTAAGTTGCTCAACACACACGTGTGTACACACCTGTAAGTTGCTCAACACACACGTGTGTACACACCTGTAACTTGCTCAACACACACGTGTGTACACACCTGTAACTTGCTCAACACACACGTGTGTACACACCTGTAACTTGCTCAACACACACGTGTGTACACACCTGTAACTTGCTCAACACACACGTGTGTACACACCTGTAACTTGCTCAACACACACGTGTACACACCTGTAACATAACATACAAGTGTGTGTACACCCCTGTAACATAACACACAGGTGTGTACACCCCTTTAACTTAACACACACACGTGTGTACACCCCTGTAACCTAACACGCACACACGTGTGTACACCCCTGTAACATAACACACACACACACACACACACACACGTGTGCACACCTGTAACATAACACACAGGTGTATTAACTGGTGACATGTGTTGCAGGTGTCCGGTGCTGGGGGCGCGCCGCTCAAGCTGGTGGTGTACTTCGAGTCCCTCTGTCCCGACTCTGTTCGGTTCTTCAAGCGGCAGCTCTACCCGACCTGGCGCGACCTCAAGGATATCATCCACCTCGAGTTTGTTCCATTCGGCAAGGCCAGGGTGAGTTGTGATGCCTTGTTCCAGCGTGGTACAATGGTGCTAGTAGAGTACATTAGTGGCAGCGTGGTACAATAGTGCCAGTAGGGTACAATAGTGGCCGCGTGGTACAGTAGTGCCAGTGTGGTACAATAGTGGCAGTGTGGTACAATGACAACGTGGTACAATAGTGGCAGCGTGGTACAATAGTGGCAGCGTGGTACAATAGTGCCATCGTGGTACAGTAGTGCCAGCGTGGTACAGTAGTGCCAGCGTGGTACAATAGTGGCAGCGTGGTACAATAGTGGCAACATGGTACAATAGTGCCATCGTGGTACAGTAGTGCCAGCGTGGTACAATAGTGGCAGCGTGGTACAATAGTGGCAACATGGTACAATAGTGCCATCGTGGTACAGTAGTGGCAGCGTGGTACAATAGTGCCAGTAGGGTACAATGGTGGCAGCGTGGTACAATAGTGGCAGCGTGGTACAATAGTGGCAGCGTGGTACAATAGTGGCAGTGTGGTACAATAGTGGCAGCATGGTACAATAGTGGCAGTGTGGTACAATAGTGGCAGCGTGGTACAATAGTGGCAGTGTGGTACAATAGTGGCAGCGTGGTACAATAGTGGCAGTGTGGTACAATAGTGGCAGCGTGGTACAATAGTGGCAGTGTGGTACAATGGTGCCAGTAGGGTACAATAGTGCTTGCGTGGTACAATAGTGCCAGCGTGGTACAATAGTGCCAGCGTGGTACAATAGTGCCAGCGTGGTACAATAGTGCCAGCGTGGTACAATAGTACCAGCGTGGTACAATAGTGCCGGCGTGGTACAATAGTGGCAGCGTGGTACAATGGTGCCAGCGTGGTACAATAGTGGCGGCGTGGTACAATGGTGGCAGCGTGGTACAATAGTGCCAGCGTGGTACAATAGTGCCAGTAGGGTACAATAGTGCCAGCGTGGTACAATAGTGGCAGCGTGGTACAATGGTGCCGGCGTGGTACAATAGTGCCAGCGTGGTACAATAGTGCCGGCGTGGTACAATAGTGCCAGCGTGGTACAATAGTGGCAGCTTGGTACAATAGTGGCAGCTTGGTACAATAGTGCCGCGTGGTACAATAGTGCCAGCGTGGTACAATAGTGCCAGCGTGGTACAATAGTGTCAGTGTGGTACAGTAGTGGCAGCGTGGTACAATGGTGCCGGCGTGGTACAATGGTGCCAGCGTGGTACAATGGTGCCGGCGTGGTACAATAGTGGCAGCGTGGTACAATAGTGCCAGCATGGTACAATAGTGCCAGCGTGGTACAATAGTGCCAGCGTGGTACAATAGTGCCAGCATGGTACAATAGTGCCAGCGTGGTACAATAGTGGCAGCGTGGTACAATAGTGCCAGCGTGGTACAATAGTGCCAGCGTGGTACAATAGTGGCAGCGTGGTACAATAGTGCCAGCGTGGTACAATAGTGGCAGCGTGGTACAATAGTGGCAGCGTGGTACAATAGTGCCAGCGTGGTACAATAGTGCCAGACAGGTCAACTAGTCTAGCTTATCAAGGTTCCTTAAGGCCAAGAACTGACCCTCCACAGCATGCAACCCATAACAGTTGCCTAAATCCCGTGTACATATTTGCTACAAAGTGAACAGAGGCATGAGGTGTAAAGGAAACTTGTTCTCGCCATGGCTGGTGACCGCGATGTATTTAAGACTGAGTTCAAGTTTAAGTATGTTTATTGAGATAAGAAATGTTTATTGAGATAAGAAAGAAATACATCTCAAAGGGATAGAGTAGCTTAGGCTATTTCTACCTCGACACCAATCTCTCACACAAGGAGGAACGGAACGGAACTATCAGGGGGGGAAAGCGCCAAGCCATTAAGACTATATAGCACTAGGAAGGGGTCAGGATAAGGATTTGGGATGGGACCCGGGGGAAAGGAATGGTGCCCAGTCACTTGGACGGTCGGGGATTGAACACTGACCTGCATGAAGCGAGACCGTCGCTCTACCGTCCAGCCCAAGTGGCTGACACAGGGAGGAAACTAACCCTGCATGCCAGACGTAAGCCTGACCCTGGTAAACTGCACAAAGCAGAATCAGATCTAGATTGGCTGAGAGAGTCAGCCTCAACTACCTCTTAACTCCCGCTAAATAAATCCTTGTATCCCTCGAGTCTTCAGTATATATATATATTGGTTCTGGATCTTCGATGTCTCGTGCTCGTCTTTTGGTCCTCTTCTGTAATTTGTGTCTGTGTGTACTCACCTAGTTATGCTTGCGGGGGTTGAGCTTCGGCTCTTTGGACTAGCCTCTCGACTGTCAGTCAACTGGTGTAGAGGTACCTGAGCCTACTGGGCTCTATCATATCTACATTTGGAAATGTGTAAAGAGTTTGTCTCTATCACATCACTGCCTAATGCATTCCATTTATTAACAACTCTGACACTGAAAAAGTTCTTTCTAATGTCTGGCCCATTTTGGTACTCGGCTTCCATTTTTCTCCTTGTCCGTGTATCACCCATGCTAAATAGTTTTTGTCCATCCTGTCAATTCCCCTGAGAATATTGTAGGTGGTTATCATGTCTCCACTTAACCTTCTTTCGTCCAGGGACGTGGGGTGTAGTTCCCGTTGCCTTTCCTCCTAGGTCATACTGTAATGACCGCTTACCCCTGTCGTAATCACCGCGGCCTCTATAGTAATAACCCACTGTTCCCCAGTATTAATCCTGTTATCTTGTGATCTCTCATAATCGTACTATACGCTCTCTGTTGTACATCTCTGTCTCTCTTCACTCAATACCCCAGCTTAACACTGTTACAGTCCAGTATGACCCCTCACTGGACTGCCACGTATATAAGAGGAATATTAAATGAGGAAGATACACCAAGGACAAGGGTTATTAGTTAAAAAAAAAACAATAAAACACATTTGCACTGCCACCGCCTTCCCGACCAACCATACCTGAATGTGTCTATCACCGATCCCCCAGGAAGGCAAGGAATCAGTAACCATGGGACTCCGGGTAATATGACTTTCAGTAATAAATTTTGGAAAATTAATTTGTATAATTTACGTTACTAATTTAAATCCAAGGGCAACTTTAGTATCGATTAATTGTAGGAGAACCTGGGGGGCTTCCAATACAACACCTAAAAATGACAAAGTAGCAAAATATATCAAAGGGGAGTTACAATACTTACAATACTTCTCAGTACTGGGAGTAGTCTAGTGGCGTACCTCTAACTTCGTCTTGTGTTTACCTAGGTATGGACTCCAGGCTGGAGCTGCATAATCCAGGATTGGTCTTACATTAGTGGTATACAGGGTCCTGAATGACTCCTTACACAAGTTTCTAAAGGCAGTTCTTATGTTGGCCAATCTAGCATATGCTACTGATATCCTTTTGATGTGGGCCTCTGGGGACAGGCTCGGTGTGATATCAACCACCAGATCTTTCTCTCTGACTCTTGCAGGATTTTACCTCCCTGATGATACAGTGTGTTCAGCCTCCTACTCCCTTCGCCTAATTTCATTACTTTATACTTTCCTGGGTTAAACTTTAGTAGCCATTTTCTAGACCATTTCTCCCGGTTTGTCTGTGTCTGTCGGTGTCTGTGTGTCTGTCTTTGTCTGTTCCAGAGTCTGTCATTTCTAGCGTTATGTGATAAAGTTCCCCAAGGTTTTCCTTACATTTTAACCGTCCGTTCATCATCAGTGTATTTGCAGAATATAATGTTTGGGTGGTCGTTTGTGTGTAAAACGGTGTGTATTTTAGCCACAACTTGTGTAAGTATTAATGTGGGTAATGTTGCATGTCTGAGCTCTGTGTGTTTACTATTTGTATCTGCAGAATCGAGCTATTAGCTCTTGTATCCCGCCTTTTTAACCAATTTATTTTTCCTCTATATCAACTACATATATTTCTCTCTAACATTCACTCACACACCACACACACACACACACACACACACACACACACACACACACACACACACACACACACACACACAAAGGGACCGACAAGAATGAGAGGAGGGGATGAACCAACCTTGCTTGATCTGATATTTACCCTAAATGAGTCGGATATAAGGGAAGTTAAGTTGGAAGCCCCCTTGGGAATGAGTGATCACAGTGTATTGAGCTTTGAGTACCTGGTTGAGCTGGGAATTATCACCCCCAAAAAAGAACTGGGAACCAAAGGGCTGGCGTACCGAAAGGGAAACTATGAGGAAATGAATAAATTCCTATGGGATATACATTGGGACACATAACTCGGAACCAAGTCCGTACAAGACATGATGGACTATGTCACCCAAAAATGTCAGGAGGCTGTAAGCAGGTTTGTCCCAGCCCGACAGGAAAAAACAGAGAAGCAAAGGAAGAATCCGTGGTTTAATAAGGAATGTATGAAAGCAAAGGAGCAAAACAAAAGGGCATGGAGGAACTTCCGTAATAACAGAACACCAGAAAGTACAGAGAGATACCAGAGAACCAGGAACGAGTATGTCAGTGTGAGAAGAGCAGCTGAGAAAAGGTATGAAAATGATATAGCTAATAAAGCCAAGACCGAACCCAAGCTACTACACAGTCACATCAGGAGGAAGACAACAGTGAAGGAACAGGTGATGAAACTTAGGGTGGGCGAGGACAGGTACACAGAGAATGACAAAGAGGTGTGTGAAGAACTCAACAAAAGGTTCCAGGAGGTCTTTACAATAGAACAGGGAGATGTCGCGGCGCTAGAAGAGGTGGCAGCAAACCAGGTGACCTTGGATAGGTTCGAAATTACAAGAGATGAGGTCAAGAAGCACCTATTGGAGCTGGATGTGAGAAAAGCTGTTGGGCCGGATGGAATCTCGCCATGGGTATTGAAAGAGTGTGCAGGAGCACTTTGCCTACCACTCTCCATAGTGTATAGTAGGTCACTGGAAACGGGGGACCTACCAGAAATATGGAAGACTGCTAATGTAGTACCAATATACAAAAAGGGTGACAGACAAGAGGCACTGAACTACAGGCCAGTGTCC